TCCAGCAGATGGGTCCGTTGCGGTCGTTGTATGCCTTGAGGAGGTTGCCCCAGTGGTTGTTACCCCCGTATGCTTCGAATTGCGATGTGTTGGATGCGGGGACGAACGAGGTGTACTTCGAGGTGGAGTCGGCGAGATAGCAACCGGGTGCCATGTCGACTGGGGCGTATGCGTAGATGGACCAGCAGACCATCATGTAGAGAACGTGACGGGTAACGACCCAGGCAATGACGAAGAGACCGAAAGCGTAGTCGCAGGCATTCGAGTAGCCCATGTACTTGAGGAGTTTTGCGGTCTGTGTCTGTCAGTTGTCGTGCTCAACTAGTGATTTCGGACTGCTTACCGGCAGGATAATGTCGACAAAGTCCATGATGGTCAGAATGACGATTCCGACGCGCATGTGGAAGTAGCCGTATGACAAGCACATCAGCGCGGTGGTGAAGATGTGGTGGGTGAACATCTGCGCGTAGTCCTTGCGCTTCTCCTCAATGTTGACGACAAGAAGCTGCTGGACCCAGAAGCCCCATTGGACGAGGTAGTACCACTTGAAAAGGCCGTCTGCCTCACGGAAAGGCCAGCCTTCCCAGATGCCGTGCAAGTCAAGCCAGAACTCTGAGTGGTACATGATGTACTGTAGCCTTGTTAGCACTGCGTCCACATATGTTATGTATTGTGCGACATACCATTCCCAAGGACCACGACGCGGTGTAGTAGACAATCAACCAGGCCTGCTCCTTGAACCTGTCCAGGCCCTTCTTTGTCCTGATGCCACCCAGCCTTGCCAGCGGGTCGAGCAGGTATTCCATGACAGCGACGCGTACACCAGTGAAGATGACAGTCCACAGTAGGACAAAGGGCAGATCGTCGGTGCCACAGCCGTACATGTTGGTGTCGGGGTTGTAGTACGACATGTGGAAGAACTTGTTGGTCCGGCTGCGGGCGCGAGGGAAGAATGTGTGGGTGAGGACGAGGAGGGTGAGGAGGTTGACCGAGATGCCTGTGGGAGTTATTATTCACATGTTCAGTATCCTCGAGTCTCTGCGAGAGCGTACCAATCTGGTGTTCCAAGATGAGGGTGCACAGAGAGGCCATGAGCCCCTCATCCTCGACCTTCTTTGCCTGCATCTTCCGCCTCTTGGGCGCAGTCGGTAGCTTTTGCGCCTGCATGTCCGCCGTGTGCGTCTTTCCCAGCGCGCGGTTGGCGTTGTGTGTCGTCACCATGGTGGCTGGTTGCAATATGCCCCAATGTGGGGAGCGAGAGGGTGTTGGAGCGACGCTGTCGCGATACCCGCTGTCTCGAGGCGGTCCGATAGAGGAGCCAATGGCAGAGGAATGAATTCCAGAGAGTGCTTGCTGTCCGGCGACGGTTTCCGGAGTCGGTGCCCGGCGTGTAGTGCGGCGTGTGGGCTCAATGAGTCGATGTGGTTGTCGCTCAACAGTCACGTCTTAGCGAACGGATTGGGGTGCGTGTCTCAGCAACCAACAGCCATTGAGCAGCGAAACGGCAGAAAGAATGGGCGCGGACTGTCGTCGATGCGTAGGCGAGGTTTCGGCGGGGGAGAGCACGATGCGCCCGGGCAGAGCAGAGTCGAGGGAGCGGTGTGGTGGTCCCAAGCAAAGATATTCAGGGTTTAGAGATGGATGGGGCAAGCGCGGATCAACAATCTCCTGAGCGGGCCACGCGAATTGCACCTTTGCCTGCGTGCCAGCTGCGAGTCTGGGTGAAGGATGGCACAGGCGTGTCCAATTGCTCTCCCTGTATTTCTGGACAGGTGTCGCGGGAGCTAGCAGTATTCGCTGTAGCAAGACAAGTGTCTGGAGCGCGCTATGAATCTGCCCACTTCAAAAATGGGGCCTCGCCTAACCCGACTGCAGCATGCGCCTAAGGGTGTAACGCGGACAAAGGCAGGCAGTGTTGCATCGGCGCGAAAGGAGGTGGCAAGCCTATATCGAAGCTCAATCTCGTCCTCTTCTGCCCCTAACACGGCCCTGCACCCGTTATCGTCGAGTTCCTGCGAGGGTCGGTTTGCCAAGACATCCGCCGACGAAGCTTGGTGCTCCGAAAATCAAGGGTCCGGGCGTTTCACCCTCCCGACCTATCAACGCGCCCACGCTCCCTGCAGCCCCATAGTGCTACCCCGCCATGGCCTGACTGATATGCATGCATAGCTATTGGATGCGGCGTGCGATAGAATGGCGCGTCGACCCCATCATAAGACAGAAGAAATGTCTTCACCATACAAACGCCGATTCTCTGGCACTTGCTTTGAACACGAAGAGAAGTGTAAAAGTGGTATTATACAACTACGGCTAAGTAACATAGAGTCTCAGAATCCATACCCAGCTCCTTGAACGACACGTTCCCAGCACAATGATATCAATACCCATAACGCCGTACAATTTCTCCCAAGTGAATCTAGCTCCTGCTATATTCCCCCCGCCTAGTTGTTGTTCTGCGAGTTGAGGATCCTCAAGATGGCGAGGAACAGGTTGATAATGTCGAGGTAGAGGGAGATGGACGCCGCAATCTCCTCCTCAACGTGGTAGTGGCGCATAATCATCTGTGTGTCCACCAGGATGTAGCCAGAGAAAATGAGCGCGCAGACAACGCCGTATCCTAGCTCGACCGAGCTGCTGTGCGGGAAGAACATGGACATGAAGCCGAACAGCACCACCACCCACAGCGCGCCGAAAAGGTACGGTGCCCAGTGCGTGAAGTCGTACTTGCTCTGGCAGGCGAACAGGCTCAGCGCGATGAATATGCCCAGTGTGAAGAAGAGCGCCTGCAGCACAATTCTGGAGTCGGTGAAGGAGACGATGACGGAGATGGAGTATGCTTCCATGGCGGTGAAGCCGGCGAGGAAGAGGAGGTTGGTCGGGTACGACTTGCGCTTCCAGAAGGTGAGGCCGAGGAAGACAAAGGAGCCGATGAGCGACACCCACATGAGCGCGGGCGTTTGCTGAATGAAGTTCTTGTACGATTCCGACATCATCGAGAGGGCGCTAACGGCGGCGGTAGCAAGGAGTTGGACGGTCCTGTATGGCATTAGTACGTGCGACATGTCTTTGAGGCGTGGATACTTACAAGATGGCGTAGACCTTGCGGATGAAGGCCATCCGGATGTCCAGTGTCGCCTCTGCCACAACACCGCCAAACTTGAAGTCATCGGGCAGGTTGTCGTTTTCGCCGCGCGGGACGCCGCTGAGGAGGGCTTCTTGGGGGTCGTTGGCCGCCTGGTAGCTGGGTGGCGCCTGCGAATATGACGGCGCGGGTGCCGCCTCGTCGAGCGAGTCGCGCTGAGGCACGTTTTGGTATTTGGGTGCACCCATCGTGATGGATTTGTCGCGAAGGTTGACTGCGTGCGATGCGAAGTGAGTGGTTCGAGTGCGCGTGGGTGGAGGTGGAGGTGGAAGGATGAAGGTTATGTGAGATGCGTTAGGGCTGTGCTGACTTGATGAGGCCACAGCCGCGGAACTTCGTTTCACGTGCCCGCGTCACGATCAACTCGCAACTTCCAGCTTCTTCCACCCCGCCCGATAACCACCAACGACAACTACTACCTTGCGGATACCTGGGCTGCGCGTTCCAAGCGTGCACTACTCCCAATATGCCATTGTCAATACCTAGGTGATATTCGCCATGACGAATGTGTGCGACAGCCCGCATAGCTTCGTCGAGTACCGCACGCTCAGGCATCACAATATGCACATTCGCGTAGTCTCAGCCTCGCCCGACTCTCATGCATATTACCATACACACCTACCAATAGGATGACACGAACGTGGTTGTGCAACCACATGGGGGCGGTTGTCAAGACAGCCACTGCAATCGCGGTCTCAGCCTTGTCAAGATGCTGCCGTGCCATGATAAGCATTCTCGCCCCTCGTAAGCTTACTGCTTCCGTCTTTTCTTCTCTTCTCAATAGTGTTGTTACTACCAGACATGCCAAAGACTCACAAATATGCGCACCTCTCGCCGGCACCTTCTCTCCCACCTTTGCGAGCGGACTACGGGGAATCTGACGATGCCATACCACTTATACACTTGCCACAGCGCACTACAGAGGCTTCGCTACACCATAACACCTCGAGTAACAATAAGACGATCGTGCAAGACGAAGACAGCGCAAGCGACCCAATCGCGTGAGCTGCAAATCTATATACCAGAGTCTTGTACGCAAGGCTGACCCATGCAGGCAACCCATGCCGGACACCAAGATCATCACAGCCAACAATGCTCTTCTGAGGACATCACAACGTTGGACACCACCACAGCTTCCACGCCCAATTAGGAAAGTAACACAAGCTTGGGATCTGCGACTGAGACGAAGTCGCTTCCATGGGTGGCGCATGGGGGTGCTATTTGGCTGTTGCATGTCCTTCTTCGTCCTTTCCTGCAACATTGCGCTTATCATCGTCGGAGCAACCAGCAAATCCGGCTATGATGTTGAGGGTATTTCCACGATCATGGAAGGAGATGAGGCGTTCGCTTCAAAGTGGAATACTGCTTTGCATATTCTTATTAACGCACTCAGCACGCTCTTGCTATCTTCGTCAAATTACACTATGCAAGTCCTGAATTCCCCAACACGGCAAGACGTGGATGCTGCGCACGCAAGAGAAGAGTGGCTTGATGTCGGACGACTAAGTAGTCGCAATATGCGAGCTATTCCATGGAGTCGCAGATTCCTCTGCTTCGTGTTGGCGTTATCGTCAACACCATTGCATATGTTGTACGTTTCGGATGAGCCTCAGGACTGCGCAAGCTTATTTGCATCAGCTACAACGCCTCGGTGTTCAAACTCATTACCAACAGAGATGATTATTTGATCAGAACCATAGACATCGCGTCAGAAGCATGGAAGCAGATATCCGACAGTACTGATAACCATACCTGGACTCAAGGGGATTACTGGTCCCTGTCAGCTGACGAGTGGCACGAGCCATATTCCAAGGAGCATAACTCGATCCACGGCGACGTGTTTCTAGCGATTGACAAGATGGCTATGGATCTCGCGTTCCTCCCGTTTAACACGACCTTCGCGCAAATGGACACCGCCTTTGCGCAAAACAGCGCCATCTCCGAGCTACCAAACATCACTTTTGCGCAAATCAATGTCTCCTACGTAGAATCCGATACAGTTGGGGGTCGTGCCACAGTGAAGAATCTCGTTACGGAATCGTCTAGATGGCTGGATTATTCCAACCTTGGATCATTCGGCAAGCGTAGGAGCGGCGTCTGGTTACATGTAGCAAAAGCTGCCTCGAAAAAGGACCTTTCAGTCCCAAGTAAAGTGCAAGTCAGCAAGCGGTTCCTCATCTTGGTCGCATGCTTCAACTTCATTAAGTTTGCCGTCATGTTCTCGGTGCTTGTGATAGACCGTTCGTCCTACCTGGTCACCTTAGGAGACGCTGCAAGCTCGTTCTTGGAGCAAAGAGATCGCTATACCATCGACAAGTGCCTGCTTAGCCGAGAGGGAATGGTTGCGAGGAAGGATCTCCCGAAGATTGGATACAATCGTGGCAACAAAGAGATCGAACAACTTCATTTACGACTCCAGGGCTCGTGGCTTCCGTATTCACGATCATACTTCTCCCCATACCACGACGTAGCCTCGAAAGTCTATGCATTCTTGTAAGTTCATTCCCCTCATCACCAAACACGTGGCTGACCATACAGATCCGTTATCTGCCTGCTTCTGTGTGGTGCCGCCCTTGCAGGCGCCTTGGTGGCACACTCAAGATGGGGGACTTCTTCCACCTCCTACATGAATCCTGCAGTAAGCCAAGAGACAGCTACTCTATGGAGCGCCTGGCTTTCCAACGTCCCGCAGGTCCTGTTGTCCTTTTGTTACTTCTGGATCAACATTGTCTGTACGTCTATGGCTGCAGAACAAGAGTGGAACAATCTGGGGGCATCCAGAAAAGGCCTCAGAGTTACGCAGCCGTATGGCCATCAAAGAAGTACATACTTCTTACAGATGCCGTACAGATGGAGTCTTCCTCTTCTTGCTATCAGTGCTACGCTCCACTGGTTAATGTCACAGGCCTTTTTCCTCGTTCGGACCTTCACGTTAAGCTTGGGTGGCTTGGGGGATGATAATTCCCGTAATACGATCGCGACATCAACATCAGCGATCGGCTTCTCTGCTCTAAGCCTTGTGGTCTTGATCTCCATTCTCTTTGGGTTGGTGGCTGTGATTGGTGCTATGGGGCTTAGGAAGAGAGAAGTAAGAGTGCCTGTTGTGGCGTCTTGCAGTCTTGCGATCAGCGCCGCCTGTCACCCACCACCTGGCGATGTCAATGCGCACCTAGCCAAAGTTCAATGGGGCGTCACGGAGCATGAAGTTGTTACGGGTTTCAAACATTGTTCGCTCTCGTCGAAACCAGTCACAGAGCCTGAGGCAGGGAAAACGTATTACTGAGATTCATTCATCACCCACGATCTATGACTTCGTAATCACAACAAGTATATCAGACCTGGAGATTTTGGAGCGAGCAGGCCGCAGTGCATTTGAGTAGCGCAATCAGGTATACCAAGTAGCCTCAGGAATCTCAGCCAACAACTCAAACCTCCCCAACTCGCGATTCTTATACGCCACTGGATCATGTAGCGTATGCGTCCTGACATCTCTCCAAAACCGGTCCAAGCCTACTTTCGCACTCGTCGCTTTCGCGCCTGTGACCTCAAACACCCCAGAAGTAACCCGCAGGCTTGTATCCGTTGTAACGACCTTGACGCTTGCGACCCATTCCGCCAGCTCCCCTCGCTGCCGTGCAGTCAGCTTCCCGCGGGTATCCAGATCGCCTGCGTATTTGTTCAAGATGGCGTCGACTTCTTGGCCAGCGCGGTCCGCCAGGGCGGATGCGGCGCGGAGGTGGGCGTGGAAGTTGCCGTAGCGTTCAAGGATGTAGAATTCATCCGTGGCTTTCTCTTTGTTCTGCTTATGCGTTAGCGATATGTACTGGTTCGGAGGATGTGGATGTGCTTACGTCGCCACCGAATGGCCAGGCTCGAGTTCCCTTCACTGTATATTTCGCGGCATATTGTTGTGCGCCCAGTGCAATACCGAGGTAAAAGTTACTGAAGACAAGCTGGATGGTGGGGAGGAGTAGCGTTGCGAACGGTATCTGCAGCGCACGGGGATCTGGTTCTTTCTTCTCGACGTTCCAACCCAGCGCATCCGTCCAAGGTACGCGCACATCGGAGATCTTGACGCTACCTGACTCCGTCAAGCGCAGACCAATATTGTTCCAATCATGTCCGAATTGGATGCCTGGTTGATCCGTCTTTGCGAAAGCGAAGATGTGATTCCCAGTGCCTTCGTATACGCCCTCGAGAACCGTGAGATCAGAGACAACACCGCCTGTGTTGAAGAACTTGAACCCGTTGAAGACGAGGCCATCGCCGTCGGACTTGATGGATAGGTCGCTGTCGCGGGGATTGACCGCGCCGCCGATGAAGTAGTTGTTCGAGATTATTAGCTTCTGGAAGCGATCGGCTTGTTCGGGTGAGCCAACGATGTTTGCTGTGGTTGACCAGAGGAGGTGGTAGCCGAGGAGCATGCCGATTGACCTAGGACAGTTAGTATACATATGCGTACGGGGAGGGGAAGACCTTACCCGTCTGCTTCGGCGACCTTCCGAATCGCCTTGTAGCCTACACTCCAAGGCTGACCACCGCCACCATACTTCTTCGGACCAAGGAGCTTCAGTAATCCGGAGTGCTTCAGTAGCGCAACTTCTGCCCGTGGGGATTTGTTCTCTTGATCTCGCACGACGGCATCAACGGCGAGAACATCGGCTACATCTTGAGCACGCTGGAGCCAGCCTGCTTCGTCTTCCGGAATAGAAGACCACTTCGTCTCATACTCAGCATAGACAGCCGGGTCTCTGAAGTCGACTTGCTGCGCATTTCCGGACTCGCTGTTAGTACCATTCGTCATGGCCATCGTGTAGATGGATAGAATGATGACATCTCTACGTTTCGATCATGATTTTATATCTATACCTCGCAAAATATGTCTCCGGATGATGAGAATCACGCAGAGTATTGCGTGCTATTTGTTCATTCTCGAGGCACTCGCATTGGTGCACATAAGTACATGAGTAGGTTTACGATGGCGATGAGAACGACCGGAGAGACAGGGATATATCGCCGACATGGTGAGTGTTGAGCTGCCTGCCGGCGGGCAGGTATAGCTAGCGATAGTCCGATAACGTGGGGGTAAGATGCGCAGTGTTGCTACCACATGTGAACGTGAAAGTTGGAGAGTGAGACGCGTCGGCGGACCGCACCTGCATCATCGCATTTGAGCTAACCCAAAACGAGACTAGTCTGTAACCAGTGCGCACGTCCAAACGCGAACCGCGCTCGCCATCTAACCCCTCAATCGCATCATCCCCAACTCCGCACTGTCACAGCGCATCAACAATCGCAGCAACCTGCACACCTCCGAGGGACCTTCAGTCGCCAGCATGCGAGCCTTCCGTTACTCCTAGCTCATTCCGCTTTTCTCTTAGCGAAGAACCGAGAAGTGTCGCCGAGTGGTAGCTCAACGATGGAGTCTTTCAGCAGCAGCGCGAACGTCAGATACCACCCGGTCAATCCAGCCAAGAAACAGAACGCACCACCGCCTTTCTTGAGCGCGACGGACGAGGTCGGGTGTCCATCTGCCGTGGCAAAATAAGACGCCGACACTAGCAAGAATCCCAGCTCGACACAAAAGAAGATGATGATGTAGACCAGGTTTGTCGGCAACGAGGCCACGAGGAACACCAAGGCGAAGACCGTCCACACTGTCACACGATTAGTAGCGCTTTCACCACTTGTCGGTCCTGAGCAACTCACTGATCATGAAGAACCCGAGAGCGTTATTGTATTGCTTCAGATCGCCTCCATATGCTGCCTCAACTCCGAAGGCAGGGGTCAAAATCGCACCAAAGCCGGCGTAGAACAGACCAAAAGCGCTGAAGACAGTATACGCGAAACCATTACCGACGGACAGCTCCCACTGTGCAGTGACTACCAGGCCTAGTATCCAGTCAGCCAAAGCACACACACATCGTACATTCCGGTAACTTGCCGAATGCCGCCGCAAAGAAGAAGTTGGCGACGAAGACATTGTTTGTGGTCACTCCTCGCCATTCCATCAGACTGAGCGACAGCGTGGTCAAAGTCGTCGCGAAGACTCCGATTGGAAGCGCCGTCTTGACATGTTAGCAACGGGGTAAAATGTACTGGAAGCATCACTAACTCCAGCACCCAAGGTCTTTGTGGCTGCGATTGGCACAGTTGGAGACTCATGAGTGAGTTGCTTCTCGACATCGGTCGTACCAGCGCTGCTTTTGCTGTTCAAGTCAATTGTCGAGAATTTGGACATGATTGTCTGCGCGCACAAAATGCTCCACGCAAGGTACCGACTCTGATCCACAGCCTTTTGTACTGAATCGTCATGAGTTCCCATATTGAGAAAGAGCACATCGACGTGGGACAACGGCGGTGTCGGCATGTTGCCATTGCGACCATGCGATGGCAAATTACGTGCTTCGGCCTTACTTCAGTGCTGAGTAGCGTCCATATGATCGTGTCGGGGCAATTTTATAGTATCACAGTTGAGGCTCGCTATGCTGATCGATCTTGATGTGGGGTATGCGGTGCTTGAGTATTTTGCTGCAATTCACGGCACATCACGTCTTCGGAGGGTGGGATTGTCACATCGACCAATGAGCCGAAGCTTGTAAGCAGCCAATTGAGGACGCCGGACTCGAAAAGTTGTCGCAAGATCATGCATCACACCCTGTCATATGCGAAGCCGAGATGTTGAGCTGGGATACGGAAGTCGACCAGCTGGCTCAGGCAAGATCGACGGCAAGTCGGCTGCAGTAGAGGTGAATACCATTTAGTCTACGGACCGGGTCTAATCTAAGGCACTCGTGCAAATCCCGCGTTCAGATGGCTGCATATCACGCAATCCACGCTTGTTATGCGCATATCTGATCTGCAATCGAGCCCCAGGTCTATTTTGCGGGGGGTCATAGTACAGGTACTCAACTCGCATACCTACGTATTCTCAAACTTGCGTTCTATCGTATCACTCCAGACAACCATGACGCCGCGAAAGAGACAAAAGACAGGTGAGACATGCGGAGAATAGGGCCATCAAGTACGTGTAGGGCTGATGATATGCTTAGCAGCAGCTCAGAACGGAACGACGAATGGCGCCAATGGACACCTGAACAAGACAGCGCAAGATTATACGCCAGCAAAGCAACTGGACCTGAACCAAGATCCTGATCGTCTCTTGTTCGCGTGAGCAATCTCCCAAAGACAGCCATATATCGCATCTCCTAACCTTGCGACACTGTAGCTACTGGGTCCCGAACGTCTCAGGCGGTCTCGTTGTTTCCAAAATAGCCCAGCGGACGAGTTGGGACCTTGCATCCAACGTACGATACGCCCGGACGGCCGAATCATACGGCTTCGAGTATGCGCTCACCCAAATTCGTTTCACCGCGTCGTATGGGGCCGACAACCAGCACGAAAGTGTATCACTGTCTCAGGCGCTGTTGCACAACACCGAGCGCATCAAGCTCATCGCTGCAATACTTCCCGGCCCATGGAACCCCACCGTCGCAGCAAAGCAAATCGCAAGTATCGACAACTACACCAACGGGCGCATTGCGGTAAACATCGTTTCGGGCTGGAACAAGAGTGAATTCCAGAGCATCGGGCAATGGTGGCTCGAGCATGCCGAGCGCTATCGACGCTCCAATGAGTTCATCCGCGCACTCAAGGGCATCTGGACTGCTGGCGACGAGGGCTTCACTTTTGGCGGCGACTTCTATCAATTCCGGAACTACAAGTTGTCACCCAAACCACTCCAGAAGCCGCACCCGGAGATCTTCCAAGGCGGCAATAGCGACGACGCCCGGAACAATGGCGCCGAAGTCAGCGATTGGTACTTCATGAACGGCAACGATCTGGACGGCTTTCGCGAGCAGATTGAGGATGTGAAAGTTCGTGCGCGAAAAGCTGG